CTATTTTTTTTAGGCATTTACCTGGGATTCGAACCCGCACTATCGCCCTACATGCATTCCCCATACACTTCGCATTTATTCTTCCAAGTTGCTTCACGTTATGATCTTGCGTTTGAAAGCCCTATTTGAATATTGCGGTCAGCTGTATGTGGCCAGCTGTGTTTGATGGTACGGTACGGTACGGGACACATACGGGATAGCGCCAGGCGTGACACAAACAAACAAACACACAAACAAACACCAAATTAAAGCTGTGTGGACCCTGGCTAGCGCCAGACGTTACTGAAGTAACGTCTTCTGCATAGCTACGGGAATGAATAAAACATATTTCTTGACAAAAAAATCTGGGTGCGGCTTATGCTCTGGAAAATGCAGTACCTGTCTTCACACATCTGACCAAGAGTAATAATTATGCTCCCAAGAGTGTGTAGCTCTGCATATGACATCTCTGACGACAAAAAGCTCTCGTCACCTGTTCGAAGTACGTTTCATACGACGTGCAACGTGAGCCAGCGTGCATGCGTTCCTGATATCCGCCATGATCGTGCCGTGCCGATGATTCGCATAAGCTGAGTGGGTTTTTTGTCAGGGAGTGCCATTTTACTACTCTTCTGCTCTCTAAGACTACGACTGTACAATGTGATCACTACACCACTTGATGTGAGTTTTCGCCGTCAGCAGGCCCCATGACAACGGTATCCAGAGTTTCCACACTCTTAAGCTTATTTGTTCACGATCTTACCTGTTTGAAACCTCACTCCAACACTCCAACAACGTTCTCTTCACTGCGGATAAATTCAATTTATAGAGAGATTCTGCACAACGAAAATTCGAACGAAGTTTCGCGACAGGCCTTGCAAAAATGTGTACGAAATTTCGCACAAACTTTGTGTTCTGCACATTTTCGTAGTTTGCACGCGCCAAGTGCACGTACAACGTGACCCGATCTCCCGAAACTTCCTACGAAAGTTCATTTCGCGTTCCCTGCAAGTTTCGCGTCCAAAGTTGCGAAAGTTTATGCAAAGTTTCTCACTTCGTGACGTAGAGCGAAAGTTCGTACATATTTTCGTTTTGCAGAACCTCTCTTATGTTCCGCCAAATTGTCGGGCCTGGTTCATGATCACGGTGAACATGTTGTCAATCCATTCGGACAACTCTTGGTCTATCTCACAATGCTTGGGATCAGGAAAGAGCATGAAAGCATTGGTGGTTCAGTGGTAGAATCCTCGCCTGCCACGCGGGGGGCCCGGGTTCGATTCCCGGCCAATGCATTTTTCTTGGTTTTGATCAAGAATGAAGAGTGAGGAGGCTTCGCACTTACACGACAATGTACGGCCAGTTGCCCGCTTTCTATCTCGTATTTCTTTACATTTTGTTTGTAGGGGTGCCTTTCCGTTTTGGTGCTTTTGCACGATCAGAGCTGGTCCGACCTGGTCTCCGTTTGTATGGTTTTCATGCATAGTCTCTCTATACATGTATAGCACTGTCAGCATGCATCATTAGACTGCAGTCATTGTCTTCTGGTTCAGTATGTGTAGCAGTGATCTAGCCAAAACAGCCGGCAGAATGCCGGCTGGGAGGGCGAATTTTGGCCGGCTGCAGTCACTCCCATGTAGGCTGTAGTGCCCCATATCCTAGGCGTAGGTATGTACAGTACAGTACGTAGCACTGGCTACTCAGGCTCAGTGCTAGCTCTTCACTCAAGCTCAAATGCACTTGAGTATGCACTTGAGTACGTCAGTAAAATGTAACAGGTTGGGTCATGGTTCGCTGCTTCTGGTGGTGTACATGGCTGTGGCTAGGCTGGGTCTTGTCAGATGACCAATGTACACTACATGCAGACATGACGTTGGTGAACACAAGATCCATGCTCATGTAGCTGTTTGCTTCCTTTTTCATATAATTTTTGTTAATTTACCTATAATCACATTCACGTTCACAACTGCCTGATGAATGCCCATAATTGGACGAAGCAAAAGGAGATGCAAGCTGCAATGAAAGATTTGTAGTGGTGTGTGTGTGTCTGTGTGGATCCGTGACTGATGGCGGGGGTCTGGGGGCGCAGCCCCCAGAACGATGCATTTTAACTAGAACGTTGGCCGGCTGGCATAAAATCCTGGCTAGACCTCTGTGTAGCATGCGTAAAAAGCACAAAGCGATTGCTGTAAAGCGAGAAACATTCGCTAGAGATTAAATTTCGCTGTTTTCCCGACCATCACCCATTCGCAAATATAAGTCGCCGCAAACTGCTCTGTGCATTGATTGCAGACAGTAACAGATCCAACAGAAGAGATAAAATCCAAAAGTTTCTCATCGTGAACCAGCCCAATTCATGAAAACGCTAAATTTGTGCGCTGGCGGCTGCGAAAGTTTATCACTTTACGGTACTAGTACATGCTTGTAGATTCAATGCAAGGCTCGCAAAATGCTCTATGTCATTTTTTTGTAGAATTCGCAACTGTGTACAGCATAGGTAGGTTTAATAGAGGTGATTTTTACGTCCAAACATTGATGGTTGGCGAATGGTTGGCAGCTCTGATGTTCGCATGCATTGTGTTTAGAGATTTGTGTTCCCAACCATTGATAACCCTGCAGTGGCTCAATTACTTTGATAAATACTCGGTCAGCTCGGTTTTAGTGAGAAATGTTACAATTCAACCCCAAGTGCGCAAGGTTGGGGGAATTTGCAGTTTATAACGTAAAGTGAGTACGCCTTCTATTCAATATTTTTCTCACAAAGATGTGGGCCATGACCTTGCCTTGCTATTGGGAGTGAAGGACTGACTCTCTGATCCAAGAAAGCAAAAACAAAAAAAACATTCATTTGGGTGTCTCCTTGACAATGCTTGAGGCTGGCAAACAGCATGAGGGCATTGGTGGTTCAGTGGTAGAATCCTCGCCTGCCACGCGGGGGGCCCGGGTTCGATTCCCGGCCAATGCATCTTTTTTCTCCTTTTTTCACACACACACCAAGCGAACATTCATCGCCAACTCGAGACACATTGCGCACAGCGAGCAGCCAAACACAACACACCAAGCAAGCACTGGCGATGAATGTTCGCTGCTTGTGTGCAATGTCTCTTGTATACAATGTGTGTTGAGTTGGTGATGAATGTTCGCTCGTTGGTCAACACCCTCTGTGCTTTTCTGTTCTGCTGCGCGTTGCAATGCTTGTGTTGTGTGCAGCGCTGGCCAAGACGTGGAATATCTCTGTTGGCTATGTCGTTGCTGCCAATCTCATCTATGACTTCACGGCGTAAGTTGTAGTTGTTGGTCTCGTACCTATGCTTGATATAGAGGTTCTGCGATTACATCATCGCTTGAGGTGTTTATTGTATGGTGTGACATCGCCACCTCAGGTCTCCCACTCTATCATACAAAGCTTTGGAAATTTTATTTTTTCATTGCTATCAGGTTCGGCCTCATTTTCTCTGTGCAGCTCTTATGAGTCCACAGAGGACGAAACAGCATGCAGTCCGCAGATTGAGTATCATACAAAGCATGCACATATATGGTGATGTCATTCACGCAGTGACTATAGCGGTGGATACTTTGCCTGTAGCCGTGGCCTTGTGGCGATCTTAGTGACTCAAGCGTCCAGTCCAGCGAGTCTTAGGGACGAAGCACACTCTGCCTTGCTCCCTGCACACAGCTTTCCCACAGCTGAATGTGTTGATATGTACCAGTCTTAGGGGTGACGCACACTCTGCCTTGTTCCCTGCACACAGCTTTCCCTCAGCTGATTGTGTGGACACCAGTCTTAGGCTGATGTTACACAATGACTTGATCACCAAATATTTACTGTATGCAATACTGGCCGAGATGTCCGGGCCCTCCGGGTTTTTGCTCAGATAAATGTCCATGTGTTTGTTAGTAGCTACTGAATTGTACGTGGTGCAACATTGATTCATTGATTGTATGTCGATCATTTTAATTATGTCACTGGTCTTGTTACACACACGTGCACGTGCACACACACACGCACACACACACACACTGTACAGGGCGTGCACAAGCATTGTGATGCAAGCCGAGAACGGAACCATCCTGCACGGTCGCAATCTGGACTACAGTTTCGGCGGCGTGTTGCGCAACGTCACCTACATCGGTGACTTCCAGCGAGGAGGAAAGGTGAGTGTCCATCCCGTATTGCTGTGTACTGTAGAACATGTTATTTCGGTGTAACTTAAATTTTGGTATTTTCGATAGAGAAACCAGGCGCCTAGATCTAGATTACACCTAAATGGCACTGGAGTATGCAGTGTAGGTGCAGGGAATGCTGATCACCTAATTCTTCATTACACCTGAAACCTGGCAGGTCCCTGGCACCGAAATTTTGATGCACCTAAAATTACATGTTGTACAGTATTTAGCGTATCTTCATCTCTTGTCTTATTGTTTTAATGGTTGGTGTCACATGCTCCACAGTGTGTTAACCAGTAATAGCAAGAGCACATAACCCCCCAGAGTGTGCAACGCCTGATCCAGCTCTGCATAGGGTCTTGGTTGAGCGTAGTTGGATCTTCTGATGTCGTGCGTACATTACACGCCCGCGCAAGGCCGGCCTCGAGGCAGGGCACCGTTGTTTTTGATCCGAGAGTACCCGCGACTCCCCGGGCTCTCCTCACATGTGTACGGTATTATGACGCAAAGATGCGATTACGCTCGACCAAGGCCCTATGCAGAGCTGGATCAGGCGTTGCACACTCTGGGGGGGGTATGTACTCTTGGTGGTAGCCACCAGACTATTGCATGCAAGAACGCTTGAAGCAGGTGACCCGAGAGTCCAACGATATCTATCATGACGCATGAGCAATGAATTATGCCCCCTCCCCCCCCCCACACACACACCTGGTACCCGTAACGTTTTGTGAGTATCAGATATTGCGGATTGGAAGCTCTGAATCCGCCTGTACGTGTCGGCATCGTAGGCGTCACATCCTGAGCTTGACCAAGCCAATCATTCGTGCCTACAAATGTAGCGATTTGGGTACTCGAGTGCTCTGGCTGGCCACTGACTTTATTTTATATTTTTATATATATTTTTTTATTCCAAGCAATACATGGCTGGGGTAGCCAATGACCACTTTGCGTGGCGATTGCAGGGTTTTTATAGCCAACCACGACTTCTTTGTCGTCATGCGTTTCTGCTTGTTTGTGTGTATGTGTTTGTTGTTCTCTGTTATTGACTGCATGATGATAGACTGCATACAAGCTAACTACACACACTTGTTTGTGTGTGTGTGTGTGTGTTTGTTTGTGTGTACATGTGTGCATGACAGACTGCGTACAAGCTAACTACGTATGGCGGCTACTTTGGTGCACTCAGTGGCATGCGTCCCGGTGGTTTTACCGTCACTGTTGATGAGAGAGGTGAGATATAGCTGCTTGCCCCTAAAATGCCTCCGCTTTTTATTTATTTTATTTTTATTTTTTACTAGCAAACACAGCCCTACTAATAATCAGGGGAAGAGTACAAGTGTAAACTGCTGGTATGTTAGCAGGTTACAACATAATCAAGAAGTACCACTCACCAAACTACTGGCTCACAATATAACATCTAGATTATTTTAGTTCCTGGACAAGAACAACCCAAACTGAAAAACATTCTCTTCTCTCTCGAAGTTCCCTCTCTCGCGCGCAGGCGCAAAAAGACAACCAAAGAAAAAGAGAAAAAAAAAGAGAATATGACAGGATTAGAACCCGCGTGGGCATAATACCAAAAAGCGTGTAATCCGGATATGTACCAATCTCTCTAAACAACCGTTATAAAACACAGTGAATAAACAGCATAAATAAACATGTCATACATGTTACACCTCCCCCTCCATTGAAGAGGCCATGCAGACATGGCCGTCAAGATTATGACAACCAGAGACAACAAGAGAACACATAAATAACAGCAAATAAAAGTTAAGTGGAATGCTCTCAATATCCAACGAGCATACCTTAGAGCATGCATAGTCAATCAGCTGTCAGAGCATGAATATTATGCCATCAAATACGTTCTAAGACATGCATGTGGCAAAGTATTATTCTGCAAAATACAGTGCTTATTAGATTGAGTAAAATTCTATCCTGGTCTTAGCAACACATGCATATGTGTGTGTGTGTGAATATGGGTACTAGCGCGCATGAGTACCAACATGTTAAGTCAGTCCATAAAACTATTTACATAACACCACCACATAAATGCCAACGGCAGACTTGCATGAATTTTCATCGATGATGACCACCTGGTCGTGCAGGTCCAGGCACATGGTCTCTGTTTCGGAGGTTGTACCGGTGAATAGCTGGGATTGCGGCTGGCAGAGCAGCAGGCTGAGCTACCGGATATTGTTCATGATATTCAACTTCTGGCCCATAATTCTGGTGGTCTAGCTGTGCTGGTGCTTCACGATCATCATCACCACCCTCATCATTTGGTTCTACTGGCTGTGTAGCTTCGACATCAAGTGCTTTCCGATGCTTCAAACGATCCACGTGAACGGTCTGCAGCTTGCCACTACTTGTATCATAGATCCGGTAGACTACATCATCAATCTGCTGTACAATACTGAAGGGACCTTTCCACGGACGATGAAATTTCTTTGTCAACCCAGGCTTGATGACAAGATCATGAAGGTACACAGTATCACCAACTGCATAGCGAGGGGTTGTCGCCGACTGGTCGTAGAAGGTCTTCTGACGTTTCTGTGCAGCCGCACCAGCTGCCCTAGCATGTTGGTGTGCCATCTGCAAAGCTGACTTTAGCTTGGGTACAAAGGCCGTTGCGGTCATTCGTTGCTCACTAGGCTGCTGAAACATCGAATCTACTGGAAGTCTCAGTTCTCGACCAAACATGAGCATTGCTGGGGACTCTCTTGTCGACGAGTGGACACTTGACCGATATGCTAATAGACACCGTTGAAGATGCTCATCCCAATTGCGTTGGTGACTATCAACATGGGCAGACAACATTGCTTCCAGAGTTCTGTTCATTCGTTCAACAAGGCCATCAGATTGGGGTCTGTAAGATGTAGTACGAGTCTTACGAATGTCCAGGAGCTGACACATCTTCTGGAAGAGATCTGACTCAAACTGAGCTCCGCGATCAGAATGTAGGTTATAGGGCATTCCATAGCGACAAAAGAACCCATCAACCAATACAGTAGCAATGCTAGACGTCTGCGTGTTGGCAACTGGAAATGCTTCTGTCCACTTCGTGAAGTAGTCACAGATGACTACTATGTACCGATTTCCACGGTAGGACTCTGGAAGCGGACCCATTATGGCGATCGCCACTCTTTCTAGCGGGAAGGAGGGCTGCTCTTGTACCAACGGGGCATGTTGCTTCGGTGCAGGGGTCTTTCGGCTCTCGCATACGGGACATGAATTGCAGAAGTCAGACACAGAAGCTGTCATAAATGGCCATTAGTAGCGCTTGCGTAACTTGTCAAGCGTACGCTCAATGCCCAGATGGCCACCAGAAACATCAGCATGCACAGCTTTCAATATGATCGGCTTCAACGAAGCAGGTACAACAAGCTGCATGATAGGTTCCTTGTTGTCAGGATAATACATACGATAGAGGACATTATTAATCAGCTTCAAACGTTTCCACTGACCCCACAGGCGAAGTACACCAACACTTACTCCATGTAAAGCTGAATCACTGCGGGTTGGACGATCAAGTAATGCTTGTTGCCAGCCAATGACAATAGAAATATCTGGATCAGCTTCTTGGGCTTGACGTAAACCATCCAGTGAAAGAAACTTGCACCACTGAGGACCATCAGCTGAGTTATCCACAGCTGCTGCATTGACCGGACTTGCTTCAGTACTGTTGCTCACGGTTGTCGGCGGTTGAGAGGATTCGACATCATCTGCTATTCGAGACAGAGCATCGGCATTGGTGTGGGATTTGCCTGGCCGGTGTTCTATGACATAATCGAACGGTGCTAATCGCTCAATCCATCGAGCCAATATGCCATCGGTTTCACGGAACGAATGCAACCACAGAAGAGCTTTGTGGTCAGTGCGCAGACGGAATTGTGCTCCGAGTAAGTAATGCTTGAATTGTGACGTGAAGGTGACCACTGCTAACAATTCCTTACGCGTACTTCCTTGGTTTCTCTGAGATTTAGATAGGCCCTTGCTAGCATAGGCAACCACACATTCATTGCCATCGTCATCCAGTTGAGATAACACAGCGCCCATGGCAACATTGGACGCATCCGTGTCTAATGTAAACGGTCGAGTGGGATCCGGGTACGCCAATACAGGAGCCGTTGCTAATTTGGACACGAGTAGATTGAATGCATCATCACACTCTTGATTCCACTCAAATACTGCATGTTTCTCAGATAAACGATTGAGCGGTGCTGCGATGCCTGAGAAATGGGGTACAAACCGACGGTAGTATGATGCGAAGCCAATGAAACTACGGACATCCGTTACAGATGTTGGTGTCGGCCACTCACGCACTGCTGAAACCTTGGCAGGGTCGGGCATCATCCCATCACTGGAAAACCGAAATCCCAGGTAGGTGACTGTGGCTTGCAGCAGGTGACATTTAGTCGGTTTGATCTTCAGATTAGCATTGCGCAGCCGAGCGAATACTAACTCTAGGCGTTCCAGGTGCTCTTCAAACGTTGTCGAGAAGACAATAATGTCGTCAAGATACACTAGGCAGACTCTTCCAAGAAGATCACTGAGTACGGTATTCATGAGCCTCTGGAAAGTGGCGGGCGCGTTACAAAGACCAAACGGCATGCGGTTCCAGTGAAACAAGCCGAATGGCGTGACAAATGCTGACTTACTCTTGGCGGCGTTGTCCAACTCTACTTGCCAGTAGCCAGATGATAGATCAATGGTAGAGAAGTATTTCGCACCTGACATGGCATCAATCGCATCGTCTACACGCGGAATGGGAAATGCATCTTTCCTCGTGATGCCGTTGAGGCGACGGTAGTCAACACATAAGCGAATTGACTTGTCCGGCTTCCGCACTATCACGATTGGGGCTGCCCACGGGCTGTTGGAGGGCGCGATGATATCATGGTGAAGCAGGTGTTCAATGTGTTCCTTTACTTCCTGTTTCTGGTGTATAGGAACACGCCTTGGGCCTTGCTTCAATGGTGCTTCAGATGTCGTGTTGATTTGATGTTGATCCGCAGCAGATAGGCCTAAATCAAACTTGCTTGTGGAAATTACGTCAGCATTATTATCGAGCAATGACTGCAAAGAAGAATGGTGTGACGGACTAACATTGTCAAAGTTGAATAGTTGATGCGGAGCAGTAGAAGCATTTACCTGACCACAAATAGCCTCGGGTGCCTTAGCGTCCGGTTGTGGTTCCTCTTCAATGTCGATGTCGGTGTCAAACGTGCCAAGGACTGTACCCTTTCGGAGCGTCTTCGGCTGTGGCGAAAAATTCTGCAGCCGGATTGGTACTTGTCCTTCGCTGTCAGGTATAGCAACAACACCTGCCATGGCGACTGTGTAGCGGTGGAGAAAAACATCTCCTGGCTGCACCCAGCCTACATCTGACGTTGTGATAGACGTGACCGGAACAGAGGCCGGGACTATTACCTGCGCATAGCCTGGTATGGTGATGGATTCCTGCAACGACACTCGATATACTTGATGATTCTTCGCTGACTTCGTTTGTAGTGACACTTGTTTGCCACCAGCAACAACACATTGACGTGCGAAGTCAATTGTACACCCGTTAAGCTTGAGGAAGTCAATCCCCAGGAGAACAGCAGGTGCGATGTCAGCTACAATCATCTGGTGTCCTGTCATAAGACCACCAAGCGTCACTGGTAACAAATCTCACCCTGCACGGATAGGGGTTGATCATCCACAGACTTAAGCACAACAGAACCAGGTGTCAGCGGTGACCGATGTCGTTCAGGGAGGGAGTGGAAAAACCTTGTGCTGAGGATGGTGACAGCACTACCGGTGTCGACCAACATACACACCGATTTCCCCGCAATAGTGCCGTTAACATAGCTCGTTCCGTCAACCTCTGCTGCCATACACGACTCAGGAAGTATGACGTGACTTGTAGGCCCGGGCGTGGAGAGCTCTGGCTGAGGGTCGGCGGCTACCCTAGCTGTGGACTGACCCATGTCCACAGCTATTGTCGGTTTCCCTGGTTGCCTTGGCTGTTGTTGCCTCTGGATTCGTCATGACGCATGTCGCGATGTGGACAAGCATAAGACAAATGTCGCACACTCTCACAAATATAACAGCGACGAACAGATGGCCCAGTTTGTTGGTGCGGAGGTTGGGGATGTGCTGCAGTGGCCTCCAACGCATCCAGTCGCTTCATAATAGCACCCAGCGTATCCGTCAGTCGTGAAGTCACCGCGCAGACCTGTGGCAGAGACTCAGCAGTAGATTGTACGGCTTCAGTGGCATGAACCGCACTAATCTGCAGAGCTGCCTGCAGTGCTGCATCCAAATCCATGGGGCTCAGCTTTCGAACTTCCAGGCGGACTTCTCTGGAATCGATGCCGACAATGAACTGGTCTTTAGCCAAGACAGTTTGGATGTCACGGTGCAGCTCGGGATACGCTCGCTGGGCTAGCTTCCTTATGGCTTCACAAAACTCTGACAGACTCTCAGTCTGCTTCTGCTTACGGCACTTCAGCTCCGCTCGGAATACTTCCACGTTCTGCGCCGCACCGAACCGTTGGTCCATCAGTCTGGCTAGTTGGTTCAGAGGCCCAAACCTCATGCCAGCATCGAGGCTTTGGTAGTAGGTGAGGGCATCATCAGCAAGATAGAGGCCCAAATAAACACTCTGGTCTTGCAGGTTCCAATGGTTTATTCTAGCCACAGCTTGGAACTGCTGATACCATGATGGCCAGTCACTGGTACGATCGCCCCTAAATTTCTGAGGGGTAGCTACTGGTCTAACTGCATGCTGACCCAACCCAGCAGGAGGTGCAGCAACAGGACCACCAGCTGGAGGTGGTGGTGGTGGTGGTGGAGGCTGTTGTTGGCCAGCTGCTCCACGATTCTGACGCTGAGCCATTATGACTACTCAAAACTGAACATGAAAAAAATTTCTTACAAAATACTACAGGTCCAAATCCCGCTGCCACCAAGTGTAAACTGCTGGTATGTTAGCAGGTTACAACATAATCAAGAAGTACCACTCACCAAACTACTGGCTCACAATATAACATTTAGATTATTTTAGTTCCTGGACAAGAACAACCCAAACTGAAAAACATTCTCTTCTCTCTCGAAGTTCCCTCTCTCGCGCGCAGGCGCAAAAAGACAACCAAAGAAAAAGAGAAAAAAAAGAGAATATGACAGGATTAGAACCCGCGTGGGCATAATACCAAAAAGCATGTAATCCGGATATGTACCAATCTCTCTAAACAACCGTTATAAAACACAGTGAATAAACAGCATAAATAAACATGTCATACATGTTACACAACTGAAATGACACTGGACAACAAGACAAAGGGGAGTAGGGGCGATGTGCCGATGTGGTTGGCGAGGCTCATCCGACCGGAGGTCTCGCTGCTTATAGCCTATTCACACTACGGCCAACTGTGATCACTTTTCTACAATTCAGACCTATTTGATCCGCGATTGTGCATAACATTTTGAAACATGACTGCATCACCATGGAAATTCAAGTTCACACGTGATTTTGGCCGTAGTCTGAATCGCCCATAACCCCCCAGCTGTGCACCCTTGCTGTTCCATGCTAGAATCTTGAGTGATGGTACTGTACTGTCGGCCGCCAAAGAGCTGGGGGGGTCAGCCTCGTAGCCTAGGCCGCTCTTATTTCATGTATTACGATCTATGCACAGTTGAGTCACTGTGTATACATTGGTATGCTGTGTCTGGTCGTTCTTCGGCGCCCGGCTGTACTGTGGAAGGATTGTGTACGTTGCTTTGTGTTGTTGGAAATGTGTCTCCCATATGGTCTAGTGGTTAGGATTCGGCGCTCTCACCGCCGCGGCCCGGGTTCGATTCCCGGTGTGGGAACATTCCTTTTTTTTTAAATTCTTCTGCGCACACATGTGTGTGTGTACATGTGTGTCTGTGTGTTTCACAGACCAAGGCGCAGTATGGGAGAACATTGCAATGGCGTTGTTTGATCGAAAGTCTGATCCACTCGGCTTCTTTGTGCGTGAGGTGAGTAGAGTATTATATTTGTGCATGTGGCCATGTGCGCATGTAGACTGTATCTTGCACAAGTCCAGAATTCCAGAGCACTTGCCAGTGGACCAGTCTGTCTTGTTGATCTTCTACTTCTGTGTTGATGGTCATAGCTGACCAAGTTTGGTTGTGCCACGCTGTGAAAACTTGAACGTGTTGTTTCTGTGGGTGTGGGCGTGTGCGTCTGTGTGTGGGTTGATGTGAGAGAGTGTGTGTGTGTGTGCGTGCATGTGCGTCTGTGTGGGTGGGTGTATGTGTGCGTGCACGTGTGTGTCTCCCCTCCCTCTCTCTCTCTCTTTCTGTACTTCTGAGGTCAGTGTACCGTCAGTGTACTTTCATCATAGCCTAGGAGCTGTGGCATCATTCATGATCCACAGCAAGAAGGCAACAATGCCTGTACCTATGGTGAATTTAAACGAGAGAGCTTGGAAGCTCAGGGCCCTACGCTATGCTTTTTTGCCTTGATGACCTAGACAAAAAAGCATAGGGATGTTATCAATTCTTATAAGTTTCTACTTTTTGTTTTTAGACATAACCTGGGATTCGAACCCGCACTATCGCCCTGCATGCATCCCCCGATACACTTCGCATACATACTAATTCTTCCAAGTTGCTTCACGTTATGATCTTGTATTTGAATGCCCTATTTGAATACCAGTATGCATTGTGGCCAGCCGTCTTTGAATGTACGGTATGGTACAGGATAGGTACGGGACAGGTACGGGCCAGGTACGGTCGAGGGTAATACGACACCGTCTACCGCCTTGATGACGGCAAAAAAAGAAAAGGGATGTTATAAATGTTTCAATTCTCCTATTTTTTAGGCATTTACCTGGGATTCGAACCCGCACTATCGCCCCACATGCATTCCCCCATACACTTCGCATTCATACTCATTCTTCCAAGTTGCTTCACGTTATGATCTTGCGTTTGAAAGCCCTATTTGAATATTGCGGCCAGCTGTATGTGGCCAGCTGTGTTTGATGGTACGGTACGGTACGGGACAGATACGGGATAGCGCCAGGCGTGACACAAACACACAAATAAACAAACAAACACCAAATTAAAGCTGTGTGGACCCTGGCTAGCGCCCTTCTGCATAGCTACGGGAATAAAGGTAACATAACAACATGTGTGCGTGTGTTTGCATATGTGTGTGTGTGCGCGTGTGCGTGTGTTATTATGTGTGCATGCGTGTGTGTGTACAACGTGGACATGCACGGTGGTATACTGTGCAGACCCTGGACACGGACGGCATTGATTTCGTCCAAGCTGTGGAGACGCTGTCCACCACACCGCTCATTGCACCAGTCTATCTGATTGTCGGAGGAGTCACACCAGGCCAGGTACTACACATGTACTAGTACAGGGGCGGAGGAGGATATTGTATGGTACGGTCAGCCATCTGAAGTACAATTTACCTGTGGGGAGTGGTGGCTGAGCCGAAATTTTTGGAAATTTAGAGTCCAGATCAGTGTATTTATTGGTTCACGGGGTACCTGGGGCAAAAGGTGGTACGGTCAATACCGTAGTGACCGCACCGTGTGCGACACCCCTGCAGTACAGTCGCGCTCGGTGAAATCCGGCCCAAAGTCCGAAAACTGGTGTCCTGAAAGAGTTCCGATTGCATCACTGTATTTGTACATGTGTACGTCCAGCCGCATTCGTACCACTTCCAGGGCATCAATGGCCGTGCAAGTTGAGGGCTCCAAATATGCACTCTGGGTCGGATTTCACCGAGCCCAACTGCACTGAGCATGTTGATGGCAAGACCGGGGCTCTGCCAGCCGATGATGGGTGTAGTCAGGAGCACTGTTTTCAACACAGTGCGTCCTCCACCTTGTACAGTAACACCCTCTCAACCAATCAACTTGTTAAAACAAGATTTTCATAAGTATCTACCAGTATGCGTCCTCTTACGTTTGAATTCCCCTTGTTGTATTCGGCCTTCGCACAAACTGGCCCCACTACTTGTAGTTGCTGTGAATTGTCTATGATTCGGAATGGCTGTGTTTGGTGCGTGGGTGGGTGTGGGTGTACGGGTGTGTGAGCGTGTGTCTGTGTGCGCGCTTGTATACGTGTGTGTGTGTGTGTGTGTGTGTGTGTGCGTGTGTGTGTGTGTGTGCGTGTGCGTGTGTGCGTGTGCGTGTGTGTGTGTGCACTTGCATGTGTTTGTGGGTGCACCTATATTGTACATGTATACCGATATCATCATTGTACAGGGTGCTGTAATAACACGTGATCAGCTGGGTGCCATCGATACCTATTACTTGGACGCCGACAAGGGACGGTAGGTACTGCCTAGAAACCTTGTGTGTAGCCTCTACACTTGCGAATATCCACCCTCGAACGTGCCTGAGAAAAAGCCGGTATTCACGAGTTGTCGTTTGAAATCTTTTGTTCTCACGCCGTTATTCGTGAGGTTGAAGATCTGCCGTAAAATGGCCGTCGTGTCTTAAGGCTGTGTCGTGATGAGCTATTATACCCGAGGTCAGTATTCGCGAGGTTGACTTTGAACAATTCACTCTGCACTTGAGCTCTCTCTCTCTCTCCATCTCTCTCTCTCTCTCTCTCTCTCTCTCTCTCTCTCTCTCTCTCTTTCTCTCTCTCTCTCTCTCTCTCTCTCTCTCTCTCTCTCTCTCTCTCTCATATGACGATCCATTGGGTTTGACCTCAAGCCAGCGGAAGCACTCCAGTACACGGCATGACACAGGTGAACATCATACATGTCCGAAATGTCACACCACCATCAAACAAGAACATAACCTTGCACGACATATGCGGACTAACAAATGCAAAACATTGGCTGCATCGCAGGCTGGAGCTGTGTCAGCAGTCTCTGCATCACCACCACACGAGACTCCAATGACTTTAGAGGCAAGTACACCAACCATTACACCATCAGACCGGGAAACAACATGTCCACACTGTTTGAGAAAACTCAAATGGAAACAAAACTTGCCACGACATCTACAGACCTGCCCGGTCTACAAATCACTTTCAACCACCTCAGCCAAAGCAGACGGCAGTAGCGGGGATGGTCGGACGACTTCCATGATTGATTCAATGCACTTCAGCCCATCTGTAGGTCAGACAATGACTCCTGGAGATGAATTGCGAACAATCCCGCACGAATCCACTCCCTGTCATAATGAGTCTTTACTTCATGTCCTGAATCAACGGGACATGGACAAGGTAGAAGTCCGGCAGTCCCTACTGCTACCGTCAGCCAAAAACACCAAGGCATGGCACACAATAAACGCTCAGTTGAAGATCCATCTCACTCAACATTTCCCAACCTCATACCTCAAAAACACTAACATCGAAGAGACTCTGGACAAACTAGAGACCTTCATTCACTGGTTTTTCGACCAGAAACCACCACCACCTCCACCAAAACACAAGAATGCAAATAAAAACCGTGCAGTGGAAAAACTCCGGGCTCACAGGCGTGATTTAAAGCGCCAATTTCGTAAGATCAAAAACCCGGACGAAGTACCTGCAGCGCTCAGAAATGAGTATTTTTCAATTGGAAAACAAATCAAGCGTCTTTTGAAACAACAAAAGATGTACGACGATCGATCCCGGAACAAGAGGGACCAGGATGCCTTTCTCAAGGACCCATATGCCTTCGGAAAGAAATTGTTTCAACCAACCAACCATGTCAAACCCACTTTCTCTGACACTACCTGCTTTGAGTACTTCCAACACACATATGCAGACCAGGATCGTGCCACTTCGTACGAATCCTGCCCCAGTGCAGGGAAGCCCCGGGATTGCACCCACCCAGTCGATGAGGGGACCCCTACATGGACTGAATTTCAGAATGTTTTGAAGAAGTGTCGCAACACCTCTGCACCGGGTCCTGACAAGATACCTTACATAGTTTGGAAGCTTTGTCCCTCCCTTCAATCCATTCTTTTCACCATCTTTGGGCGGGTTTGGGAGAGCAAGATCATTCCAAGGCAGTGGCAGGTAGCGTGTATCACACTCCTGGCCAAGGGGGAGGTGTCTGATGATCCTTCGAAATTCCGACCGATTGCTCTAGCAAACACGTCCGGGAAGATCTTTTTCACCTTAGTTGCAAAGCGCCTCTTGAAACATATGCTAGGCAATAAGTTCTTCGATGGTGACAACCAGAAAGGATTTATGCCTGCAAAGGCTGGGTGCTTAGAGCATACATCACTTTGTTATGAGGCGATGCGTGATGCAAAGACGGCAAAACGCCAAATTTGCATTGCGTGGATAGATTTGAAGAATGCATTTGGTTCAGTGCGCCACAATCTGATACAGTATGCTCTAACCCACTACAGCCTTCCTTTGCAATTCAGGAAATTAATTTTTTCCTACTACGACAGTCTTTGCGCTTTCGTCGTACAACCACACACTCCCACCTTTAATTACAACATTGGTGTTTTCCAGGGGTGCCCCTTGTCCCCGGTCCTTTTCAATATTTGTTTCCAGCTTCTGCTGGACTCACTTGCAGCCCCTGAATTAAGTTGCCTCTCCTATGATTTTAAATCTGCCCCTTTGCAAGTGTCCCAAACAGCTTTTGCTGATGACTTAGGCCTCTATAGCAAATCTAGTGCAGGTTGTCAAAAACTCATTGCGGTCACGGAGGACTTTCTCTCGTGGACCCAATGTATGCAGGCGGCGCCGCACAAATGCAAAAGCAGTGCAGCAAAGCTTGTAGATGGCCGGTACAAACCTTACGATCCCTGCCTGACGATGTCAGGGAGGAAGATCGCTTTCATTGACACTGCAGAGTTCAAGTTCCTGGGGCGAAGGCTGCATGCTGATTGCTCTGAGCAGACCCAGCGGGAAGACATCCGTCAACTCACTGTATCTCTCATGCAAAAAGTAGATGGCTCTTGGCTTCAAGACCACCACAAGCTATGGCTTTACCACCATCTTGTAGTGCCCAAGCTTTCTTGGTCTTTCCAGGTTCTTGAACTCACACAAGGTTTTGTACGTGAACTGCACTTTATGTGTTTACCATTTCTGAAGAAATGGTCAGGCCTACCTCGATGCGCAAACTCTGCCATTCTTTTTATTGGCAGTCGCAAACGCTTTGGCTTACGCCTCCACTACCTTCCTACGGTGTGGAAAAAGTGCCAGTCCATCAAATGGCACATTCTTCGATCGAGTGGGGACGCGCGCATGAGGGCGCTGTACACTCTGCGTCGGAGTAAGGATGCGAAGCTGACAAAGCGATATGCGGCGACAATAGAGCTGGAGTGTGCAGAGGCATCAGTAGGTTCAGGGACTCTCCGTCCACCGTCATCTTCAAGTCATCGTGCAGGGTTGGGTGCTCGTGCTCCGAAGCAGCATTCCAAACCCCCGAGGAAGGATCTCCTTCAAACATTTGAGGAGATCAACGCGCAGGAGCAGATTTTGAGGCTGAAGACTCTTCAGGTGCAAGGCAAGTGGTTGGAGTGGACATCGGTGATGTGGCAGGACCTGTCGTGGAAATCCCTTTTGTACGGTGGTACTGGTAAGGATTTGAAATTTCTTCTCGCATCAACCCTCGACGTGCTACCTTCTCCGACGAACCTACGCCGTTGGGGAAACACCGTAGTGGATCCGTACTGTAGTTTGTGCCGTGCCTGGGCCTGTACTACGCGCCACGTGCTTGGCGCTTGTCGCGTAGCGCTGGACCAGGGACGTTACACCTGGAGGCACGACAACGTACTCGGGGTCATCGTCAGGAACATGCGTGAGGAGATTCGAATTCGCACTGCTGCAAACACCGTACAAACCGAAAATTCAAATGAGCTTGACTTCATCTCGTTTTGCAAGGCGGGAGAGAAGCCAGTTCGCGTTCAGCCCAGACGGAAGTTGGTTACGACTGATCTCCTGTCAGCGGCCTCAGACTGGAAACTTCTTGTCGACTCAGTTAGTGCAAAGATTTCTTTCCCTAGCTGTGTTGCACTTACCACCCTAAGACCAGATATAGTTCTGTACTCTACGAGTCGTAGGATTGTATTCTGGATGGAGTTGACAGTTTGTGCTGAGGACAGATTCAGTGTCAGTAACTCGCGGAAGGACAGGCGGTATGCAGATCTGGCCGATCAATGCCGAGCAAACGGGTGGCAGGTCGTTTCTTTCTCGGTTGAGGTAGGTGTGCGTGGTTTCATCCCGGACTCTCTTCGGAGGGCTCTGAAAGCGCTTGGGTTTTCTAATCGAAGAATAAAATTTATTTGTAATTTGTGCAGTAAGACGTCTCTGCGAAGCAGCTACATCATCTGGTTGCGACGTCAACAAAAACACTGGTCGGAAGATCCACTTTTCTGAGGTACTGTATGTGGGGCTCCGTTTATTGAGGTGCGTTGAAATTTATTCTCTTTATCTTATTATTTCTTTTCTATAATTTCCCCATATGAGTTCCTATCAGTTGCTGTGAACACCTTGAGTGGAGAGCGCTTGCTCGAGCGTTGAACCGGGTTCTTAATCCACCATACCCAGTTCGCAAGGCTGGGCGGGGTTGTGAGCAGGCTTTCATTTCATCTTTTCTTATTATTTCTGCTTTTCATCTCATTACAAAAATTCTGCGCTTTTTCTCCATCTGCGCATAAAATCTAGACTGACAACCTGCTTGTTAAATCATGCACCTGCTTTCAGGCGTAAAAACCCTGTTGTAGAGGTCTCAGTCCTCATTTGTTAGACTTACCTGTCTTTATAAATGTAACTTACTCTCTCTCTCTCTCTCTCTCTCTCTCTCTCTCTCTCTCTCTCTCTCTCTCTCTCTCTCTCTCTCTCTCTCTCTCTCTCTCTCTCTCTCTCTCTCTCTCTCTCTCTCTCTCTCTCTCTCTCTCTCTCTCTCTCTCTCTCTCTCTCTCTCTCTCTCTCTCTCTCTCTCTCTCTCTCTCTCTCTCTCTCTCTCTCTCTCTCTCTCTCTCTCTCTCTCTCTCTCTCTCTCTCTCTCTCTCTCTCTCTCTCTCTCTCTCTCTCTCTCTCTCTCTCTCTCTCTCTCTCACCACACACTGGCACTGGCCGTGTGCCATAGCTCCAGAAAGTCAAGAACAACAGTCGAGGAAAATGTCTATCTCATACCCAAGCATTGGTGGTTCAGTGGTAGAATCCTCGCCTGCCACGCGGGGGGCCCGGGTTCGATTCCCGGCCAATGCATCTTTTTTCATCGTCTTTGCCCAAACCGGCTCGAATGAATGTTTTTGCTGCAGCCGTATTTTTATTGCCTGTCGCTTTCCTTGTGGAAAATCCCTTTTGTAATTAGTGGTGACGACTTTGGCTGTAGTACAAGGAAAGTTGGTTGCCCTCCACGCTGGAGCTTGCGCTTTTCCTGCTGACTCTAACTGTAACGGGACGCTCTCGGATTTCCTATCCAGAGCAAACTAAAGCTCATGTAACGTTGCACTCGGCAAGCCTGCGAGAAAGCACCCTCTCTGCTCAATACAGAGTAGTAGCTCAGGGTACTGGGAACATGTTGTTTTCGGTGGAACTTTAATTTCGGTGATTTCGGTAGAGAAACCAGGCACCTAAATTTAAATTACTCCTAAAAGGCACTAGAGTATGCACTGTATGTGACGGGAAAGCTGGTCACCTAATTCTAAATTACACCTGAAACCTGGCAGGTCCCTGGCATCGACATTTTAATGCACCTATATAAAAATGACATGTTTTACAGTATTCGCTCCACATCAGTAGAGCTTGAGTAAGTAAGTAAGTAAATTATCGTGTCCGTTCCCGAAGGGAACTCACGACGGCCGCTAACACCCGGTAAATCCTAGCGGCAGATGCAGCGCCTAACGGTGGGGGTGAGTGGATAAGTCTCACAACCACTGGCACAAGTGCCGAGAACGGCCCCA